TCATGTATAGATGTGAGAGTTGGGCTATAAAGAAAGCTGAGTGCCAAAGACTTGATGCTTTTGAACTGTGGTGTTGAAGACTCTTGAGAGTCCCTTGGACTGCAAGGAGATCCAACCAGTCCATCCTAAAGGAAATCAGTCCCGAATATTCATTGGAAGGACTGATGTTGAAACTGAAACTCCAATACTTTGGCCATCTGATGCAAAGAGCTGACTCATTTGAAAAGACCCCAATGCTAGGAAAGATTGAGGGTAGGGGGAGAAGGGGATGACAGAGGATGAGATGGTTGGATGGCACCACGACTCAATGGACATGGGTTTGGGTAGACTCCAGGAGGTGGTGATGGACAGGGAGGCCTGGTGTGCTGTGGTTCATGGGGTCACAAAGAGTTGGACACAACTGAGTGACTGAATGGAACTGAACTGAAGACTTAGGTAAGGTAGGCACGATGCTCCAAGTGTGACACAGCCCTGGACATCCAAGCCAACCCTGCTCCACCTCCACTCCTCAGTGGCAGATGGTCTCAGACACACAAGAGGCCTTTCTGCTTCCAATGACAATGCCGATGCTCCATCACCATCTTGGAAATGGTTTTGCTTGTTACTAAGTTTGTTTCCAGTAGTCGTGTATGGATGTGAGAGTTGGACTGTAAAGAAAGCTGAGCATCGAAGAATTGATGCTTTTGAATTGTGGTGTTGGAGAAGACTCTTGAGAGTCCCTTGGACTGCAAGGAGATCCAACCAGTCCATTCTAAAGGAAATCAGTCCTGGATGTTCATTGGAAGGACTGATGTTGAAGCTGAAACTCCAATACTTTGGCCACCTGATATGAAGAGCTGACTCATTTGAAAAGACCCTGATTCTTGGAAAGATTGAGGACAGAGAGAGAAGGGGACGACAGAGGATGAGATGGTTGGATAGCATCACTGACTCGATGGACATGGGTTTGGGTAAACTCCGGGAGTTGGTGATGGACAGGGAGGCCTGGCATGCTGCAGTCCATGGGGTTGCGAAGAGTTGGACATGACTGACTGACTGAACTGAACTGAAGTTTGTTAATAGCCAGCAGTGACCTACTGTGAACCTTTATATTTTTTAAAATAAAAAGTATTCAGCAATTCGGTATAAAAAAGGGAAAGAAGGTGGAGGTAAGAATACTTCTTGTCTTCCTTGCTGTCCACTCAAGTGTATACTTAACAGGCTAATTATTGGTTCTTGATGAGGAGAGTCCCAGTGGATAATTCCACTTACTAGTATGGGGACAAGGCAATAATGGACTGTAAGAATGAGAATTAGGAAAGAGTGAGTATTTAGGTTAAAGAGAGTCAAGCAGACTTTTGGAAGGAGGTAGATTTTGAAGTGGTACTAGGGGTTTGAGAAATCAATAATAATTAAGAAAAAAAGTGAACACTGTAATTCACTGTTTGCTTACTCTTCCTAACCACTGTATGTGGGCTTTATTGAGAATAAGAGTATTTAAAACATGAAAAAAAGAATTATCCAGGTGAAATGTGATGTGGGGAGCAGGAAAAGCAGTAAATATGGCTTACGATGTTCAGGAAACAAAATAATTGGAACGTGCATATTGGGAGGATCATTTGGTAAGATCTGACAATGAATTTTTTAAGTCAGTAATACAGGTTGCAGCGAGGGAAGGGTGGTAGGTATAGCACAAGAAACAGAGCATGTCCAGAAGAGCACCATCTCTGAGTGCAGTGAAGGAGGCGTGCTGGATTGAGACTATGGGGCCAAACTATGGGAGACCTGGAGTGCTAGGCTCATGAGGTTAACTTAACCTCAAAGCCAGTTGGTATGATATTTATAAGAGGAATGATAATGTGTCCTTCTGTTTTGGGTAAAAATTGATCTGGGTTCAGTATCATTTAAGGGGAGAGCATGAAAGAGGCAGCATGAAGAGATGACTACAGGAATGAGGGCTGAGATGATAAAATACTAGACGAGGAGGGTGGGCATGAAATGTAAAGAAAGGAGAGTCTGAGTGATGCTGAAAATAAAGACTGATGTGTGTGGTGACTCTTTTGATACAGGGAAAAAAGAAAATGGACAAATTTCAAAGGTTATTCATCTGATTAATCATTCAACAAACATATACAGCAATAAATACATACTCTCTGGTACTGTATTAGTAGAGCACGGTCTTATTTGCTAGCACCCAAAACTGAATCTAGCTATCTCAGGTGTAGAAGGAATGGATCATAATGCCAGGGGCTCACAGCATCAGTGAGAACTCAGAGAATGAGGCTTAGAAATTTGGCAGATCCAAAATTGCCTTGTAGCAGTCTTTCTAACCTGAGTTTCATGAGAAAATTAAGTTCTACCACCCTAGAGCATGCATTATATACAGTATAGTGACTTAACTCCTCTCCTATGCATCTAAAATGGCACTAGTCATAGAGTATCTTTGGCAGAATTGAGAAATCTGTGACTCAAATCAGTTTCACTTTCTCTGCCTCAAATGAGGTACCCTACTTGAGAAATCACAATGGTGTGATCACTCACCTAGAGCCAGACATCCTGGAAGGTGAATTCAAGTGGGCCTTCGAATGGATCACTATGAACAAAGCTCATGGAGGTGGTGGAATTCCAGTTGAGCTATTTCAAATCCTGAAAGATGATGCTGTGAAAGTGCTGCACTCAATATGCCAGCAAATTTGGAAAACTCAGCAGTGGCCACAGGACTGGAAAAGGTCAGTTTTCATTCCAATCCCAAAGAAAGGCAATGCCAAAGAATGCTCAAACTAC